TTAGCTCGTCTGGAGTGGTTTTTGATTGTTTTTAATAATTTTATGATACTGTCTCATGTAGGGGCATGTAGAACTCTTACAGGGAGAGATAGAAACAAGGGAACTCTACAACCTAAGCTGAGAGCCAGCTGGCTTTATGGCTCAAGTGTAGAGGTACCTACACTATGCTCTAGAGGTCCCAGGTTCAAATCTGCTCAGTGGTGGTTATGTTATCTTTAAACATTCCTGGAACAAATTAACTGTCTCCTTCTTCTCCTCACAATTTTGAACTTAAGGCATTTAAAATAAAACAGTTGTAGGGGAAGCAGAATATATTTTTGTTTATCTCTACTAAAGATAACATACAAAGTATCAAACTTGTGTTTCTGATACCGTGTTAAGGCTCTAAAACTGATACCTCCAGGCTTGGGACTGGGAACATGTGTTACATTTATTTGTGTGTGTGTGTGTGTGTGTGTGTGAGAGAGAGAGAGAGAGAGAGAAAAAAAATAAATGAATTAGGTACACTGCTCATGTCTAAATTGTTATCTGTAAAAAAGTTTTCAGGTGCCTAAGTAGCCACTGAAAGCACAGTTAAATCCACCCTCTCCACGTAATCTGAAGGGCTGCGTCTAGACTGGCAAGCTTTTCCGCAAAAGCAGCCACTTTTGTGGCTTGATTTTGCGCAAAAGCACTGAGGTTCTACTGTCTGAAATCAGTGCTTCTTGCGCAAATGCTTTGACGTTCCTGTTCAGGCAAAAGCCTTTTTCCGGAAATGTTTTTGCGCAAGAGGGCCATAGACAGCTAAAAACTGTTTTGCACAAAAAAGCCCCGATGGTGAAAATGGCGATCGGGGCTTTCTTGCGCAAAACTGCGTCTAGTTTGGCATGGACGCTTTTCCGCAAAAGTTAAAATCATGCAAGTCTAGACATAGCCAAGTGGTGTCCCAAAGGACACCGGTTCCTCTAGCTAACTAAGGGTGTGTCTACACTGCAGGGCTTAACTTGAAATAAGCTGTGCAAATTGAGCTATGTCAATTGCATATCTTATTTTGAAACAGCTTATTTCGAAAGAGGGCGTGTCTACATAGCACTTATTTTGAAATAGAGCACTCTTCTTCCAGCTTCCCTTATTCCTCATACAATGAGGTTTACAAGAATTGGAGTACGAAGTCTTCCAGCGTGACAGCATTTTGATACTATTTCGAAATAACTACCTGCTGTGTAGACATGGACTACGTTATTTCGGAATACCGTTAATTATTTCAAAATAGTGTTGCAGTGTAGACATACCCTAACTGTAGTATTAACACACACATGCACTCACATCTTAGACATATATTGCTTTTGAAATAATAATTTAATCAGTTTTTCTCTCTGTTCATCATAAGCAATTTGATCTCTGCCAAAAAAAGACAATGTAATTGTTCAGATCTGTCAGCTGTTTCTGTTTCCTAGTCTGTTTCCTAGTCTCCTTCATTGCGGACGTGTTAGATTTGTGGGTCCAAATTGCTGTAACCATCTCTGCTCTGAAAACTCTCATTATTAGAGACTGAATAGTGGGATGGGGGAGGAAGGAGTTTGGTGAAAAGGAGGGGTTTCAGCTAAACTGTGCTGGCAAAACAAGGTGCAGGGTCTGGATTTGACAAGCCCTTTATGGTTTGCCATTGCCTGAAAGCTGCTGCAATTATCTGTAGGGGATGACTCACAATGGGACTCATATTGGCAAACCCTGCAGCTCAGCAGCTTTGAGAACTAGCAGGAAGTTAATGCAGATTTTGCAGGTACAGTAATGAGAAAGAGTTGGAATGTGGGGGAGCATGGAAGTGTGTAGCACTTGTTAGGGCTTGTCAGGAAAAAGAGCCTCTGTGTTGCTAATCATAGTGTGTGGGCAGAGAAAGCTGGGGAAGCATTAATCCTTATCTGCCTTTTTTGCTTTTGTACCAAGTCCCAGGCATCTAATTACCCTAGCTCCTATATCTCCTCATAACCCAACCCTGTTTACATACTTACAGCTTGAAATCCCTGCTACCCTGGGAAATGACCACACAACCCCCCTGCTGCTCTCCCCATTCCCAAGCCACAACTCTCTCTACCTACACCAATCTTACCAACTATGTTGTGCTGTCCGCTATCCTCAACCCCCACACACTTAAAGAAAGGGAAAATTGAATTCACAACATACAATTTTTACCAGCTTAGTTCATTAATCAAATGAAACAAATAATAGTAATAATTAATGAATTTTCAATCAACACAATCAGTAAAAAAAAGAGACTCTTCAATTCTGCAACAAATGTACCTTATTTTATGAGTAAATGTTATTTCGAAAGAAGGGTTTTTTTCTTGAAATAACAGCATCTAAACAGCATTTTTTATCTTCAAATAGGGTATTTCGAAAAAGGGACCAGCTGCGATTATGCAAATGAAGTGCGGGAAATTCTAATCCATGCTTCATTTGCAAGTTCATTTGTCTGCATTTGCATTCCTCTCTCGAAGGAGGAATGCAATGTAGACATGCCCTTAGAAAAAGAACTCTCTTCCTGCTTATCTCCTTGGTCTTCACCCTGACTGGGTTCAGTTGTTAAAGTAGTTCTCTCTGATCCTCTCTAACTGGAGTCAGTCATTCTAACTAAGCTCCATCAGACCCAGATGGAAATACTAATTATCCATTGCTAACACTCCATATGCAGAACTTCCACGTATTAATGTGTGAGAAATTTGAATATCAGGATTCATGGGATTCTGTGTAATATGGTTTTGTGAACTGAGCATTTACCACTATACGGAATTTTAAATATATCTTTCCACAAGATCCCACAGGCTTTAGATAGTTCTGAGGACATTGACTTCTTGAGTTCTCATACCTTGCACTGAATCCCCACCCTTCAAGCAATTGTTCAACCATACTTCATGTAGTACCTCATTAGATGACATATATGGCAGCACATTAGTTTCATGTAGAATGGCTAGATTCCACTGATGCTTAATCTATGTCTTGTCATCTGGGTCAGGCTGTCAGAAAACCGATTAGATCAGTATGGACAGTTAGAAGGAAGCCATCATTTGAGGATCAGAAATTCAGTGCCTGTGGATAGAGGAGGATGGCTCACCAGATCCTTAATTATTTGACTCCTGGAGGGATCTGTTGAATTTTACCAAGTTTTGGAATTTGATTGGATCCATGGGAATTTATGGGCAGATTAGATAGGATCATGAATTGCCTGGTGACTGGAGAAGTTCTTAACATTGCTTTAATGAGATAATTATGTATCTAAGCCAGTGACTGCATTATGGTCTTGTCTGTATTGACATTTCATCCAAATACCATGTTCCCAGTATGACCAGCCATGTGGGTTGATCATAGGTGGTCTATGAAAGTCCTGGGGAAACAAGTGAGGAAATTTTTGTTTCCTCATTAGTAGGGATCTGTAAGTTTTTACTCTTAAAAATGACATTGTGAATTAAGGCAGTGGCTTTTGTGTAGTGTTACAAAGTGATCTCTTGAATAAAAATATCTTTTTCTAGAATATGAAGTGGGAGTAGTAATATCACTTCTGCACAGGAGGAGGAGAATAATAATTCAGATTAATTTCTCATCAGTTTTCTCAATGGAAGCTGTGAACAGTAGGAACAAATTGAAGCTTATGGTTGCATGAATTGCAAAGTGTTCAGAAAATGCAGTAATCATGGGTTTAAAAGAACGAGGTCTAGTACGACAAAACATATGTATGCTAAATTGCTGATGTGGAAGTACTTTCTTAAAATACTGGATAATATACTTTGTTTTCAAAATGCCTATAATGAAGTAATATGTTTAATATTTAAATTTCTTTATAAACAGCTTTTTATTATCTCCCCTATTTTTTAAGTCAGAAATTTTGTATTTGCAAATCCATGGCAGAGCCAAATTTGAAATAAATTCAATTGGTAGCTCTGAAATTAAGAGTTACATTTTTCATACACCTGCAGTAAACGTTATTTATTGATCTATGGCTTGAATTGATATGTACGGCATGCATGTGAAAGTGAGTTTTTTGCTCAACCTAAAATGTCTTCGGAAAAATCTCTCTTGAAGGTCTTCACCACAACCCCAAACTACCTTGGACTCTTAAAGTCTTCTGAAACTTGTGAATGCTTTAGGAAGTCCACAGTATTGTACTGTTACTGGGAAGACAATGGTTTGGCTTGGGTAGTGTCCTCCTGTAGACCTTCCAAGTGCCCAGATCCAAGTCTATCCGGTGAGGAAGATGTCTCAGTCTTTGATGTTCACCGGAGAGTACTCCAACTCACCAAAATGTTCAGTAGAAAGCAAATGTAATTCAATACTGGGCCATTTGCCCTAAATTTTCAAATTTAAAATAGGGCTGTAAGCGACAAGTTGACTACCTAATAAGCCTAGGCTTATTGGGTAGTCAAGTCACTACTCAACTAGTTGCTCCCCTTCCCCCTTGCTGCCTCCTATACAAGAGGCAGCAAGGGGAAGAGCAAAATCTGGTGCTGGGGGGAGCTGTCTTAAAAGCCGGTTCCCCCCAGCACTGTCTCCGCACGGGGTAGGGGAGGCAGAAGTGCAGCAGGGTAAATGCCGGGTACGAGATGCTGTGCTTCTGCTTTTTAAATGTAGTAAGAGTCACCAGGTTCTTACTACATTTAAAAAGCAGAGCCATGGTGAGCAGAGCCCCCTTATCAAATTCCATCCACTACTTGATTAGCTTCCTAACTGCTATTTAATATCCCTAACTTGAAAACATTACTTGCCTATGGTTATACAGAAAATCACGTCAGAAACAGGATTAGAAAACAGATTTTCAAGATGATAGCTCATGGCAAATCAAAAATGCCACCCTGGCAAGTAATTTAATCTGCCTAGCATATCTGTAAAATGGCAGTGTCCCTAGAGTCACTCTCTAGGCCAGGGCAACATTTTTCAACTTGGGTGATAGGGCCGCCAGGGTAAGCTGCTAGTGGGCCTGCACCACTGTGTTTAATTAACATGTCCATAGCCATGGAGCCTCGCAGCTCCTTTTGGTGGAAATTGTGAACCGCAGCCAATGGGAGCTGCAAGCTCCATGGCTACAGACACTTGAAGTAAACAAAGTGGTGTGGTTCTGCCAGCAGTTTACTCTGGCAGCCCCGTGACCCAAGCTTGAAAAATGTTGCTCTAAGGTCCCTGTGCCGCTCAGGTTTGACCCAGTGGACTTTATGACATGAGTATTGTCATAGCCACCCCACGAGCCAGGTCACAACTCTACTCCAATGAATTTGGTCCAGTCAGTGGGCTGGGGCAACCCAAGTGCAGAGTTTTGGAAGGGTAGGGGAAGCAGAAGCCCTGCACAGCTTGCTTTTCATCCCTGTCCCTGGACTGTCAGGGAGTGAGGGGAAAGTATTTGCATTCTGAGCTTGCCTCTCACCCCTGGCTGGTGAGGGAGCTCACTAGGTGGATGTGAGAGGAATGCACGGAATGCAAGTACTTTCCCCTCACTCCCTGATAGTCTGGCAAACAAGATGAAAAACAAGCTGCATCCCGGAGCACAAGGCAGCTTGCCCCCCTTACTATCCTGAAACTCTGTCCTTGGGCAAACCTGAGCAGCACCGCAACCGGAGGTTGCAATTGTTAGAACAGAGGGCCAAGTCTAACCTGCCCCACAGTACAGGAGCTGCTACTGTGGGGTGAGTGCCAAGTAGCACCAAATTCCCCTGGTGGGCAGGATTTAACCAAAACCATCCCGTGGCCCCCAGCTATTTAACTAGGTTGCAGCAGGCCATAAACATTTACAAATGGCTCTGGAAAACAAAAACTACTGCTTTTGTTTGTCTGTACCAAACAGTGACTTTTTCCTGGATGCTCTTCTGAGAACTGAGAATGATTCCACATAGTTGTTCAAACCTCTTGCTGTGTTCTGGTTTTTGACCGTCAGTGAGTAGGCTGCCAAATCTGTAGGTTGTTTTCATTTTTAATAATGCTTTTAGTCTCTGCTAAGTTATTCTTACGTACTGATTAAATCTTTCTAAAATAAACCACTCATTTCTCCCACTTTTTCCACCAGGTATTTTAGAGAGATGTGATTTTAATTTGTATACATTGTTGCACTGACTTTCCTTTTTGGGAACCAGGGAAGAGCTGGAGAATCACACGGTTCCCATGAGCCATTATAAAAAGAGGAGGAATCTACTTTATGAATCACTGGGTTATTTTTTGAAAACCGTTTTGGATTAAAATGACTCATTTATTTATCTTCTTTAGCCAGGGAAATACAGTTTTTAGCTATTGTGCCAAGCATATAGCATTACAATATATGTTTATACCACTAAGTTTTAGCCCTGCAAAATGGAAAATATTTATTCTAATATACCTCCCCCAGGCACTTGGCATCTTGATACTTAAAAAAGGTAAGGCAAAACCAGAAGCAAACTTCACCATAAATTATAAATCAACAGCTACCTCTATATAGGAAAAAGATATCAATATTTCTCCCTTCTCCCTGCATCTGGTATCACCCTATAGAGGACCATTCCATCCCATCTTTACTCTCTCCTGCACCCAAAAGCCAGTTAAAAGGTGAGCTTTGCAGCATACCCCCTGAAGGTCAATAGATATAGCCTATTTCAGATTGGCAAATTTGAAAGTTGGGGTGTTTTCACACTGTCCCTCCCTGAAGCTTCTCTTTTAAATCAGGGAATCTGCACCTTGAATACCCCGATCTCAGTTGTTGCATTATGGCAGAGAGGAGTGGGTCTCTCAGGGCCCCAGGGCATTTAATAAGGCTTTTAGGTGAAAATTAACAACTGAAAAGTGCTCCCAGAAACCCAAAGGCAGCCTGTGAAGACAATGAAGCATTCATGATATGTGCTTGAGGTGAGAAACCCTCCATAAAAAGTAGGCTGCTGAATTCTGCACTCCATTTTCTGAAGAGTTCAATTCAAGTAGGAGAAACACTGTAAAAGTCTGACAGTGAGTTGCTAAAGCCATAGATACAGTGATCAAGCCCAAATCCAAAATAAAAGGTCACACCTTCTTGGTTAGCCACAAATAAGAGAAAGCTGTGTAGCCCCTGTTGTAACTCACTCATCCTTCAGTAATAGGGAATCCAATCAGATTCCAGGAAAGCAAACACAAATTACAAATGGTGGTCAGATTCCTTTATTTGACCTTCTATTTGCTTTTCTCACTTAACCAGCATCACCTGTGTCTTTGTCTGGATTGATACTCAGTCATCTCACTAGTGACTAGATGGTGTTCATCTCACCCAGTCACTGGAAAAGGTATTCATCTGCACCACCAAAGGTGGAAGAGGGGAAATCAGTAAAGCTGGGTTGCAAATAATTGCATATTGAAGAGACCACAACCAGTGTTTCCTTGTTTTCCTTCTAATAGCCTTGCATTCAATCCAGAACCTAGCATGAGAGTAAGCTGGGTGAAAAGGGGTAACCACCCATACCTCTGGAATGTCACTGGAGCCCTGTCTATTTCCTGTGCTTTGCAATCAACTGTGTCAAAAACAGTTAATTTTATAATACTGGCCTGGACACTTGTTTCTCACTGATCACCAAAGTAGCCATTATGCACACCTATATTCACAGCCAAGGAATTCTGACAACTAGATAGTGAGAGGGCCTGCTATAACACAAATTTCAATAATCTTAACCACAAAGGGTAGATTAGATACAGAGCAGTGATTAGCCCTGTTGTCAAGATCAAACCATGGGATCCTGAAAATAGCCTGTACCTGTCTTTCCTGAAGAGGGGCTAGCAGCTGCCCTCTTTAAAAGAGGCACTGCTGTATTAATTTAGATGGAATAAATGGGCCAGAGAGGTTAACATAAACCCAGTCACTGTCCAACATTAAACAGTGTTAAATATGGTTCAGGGTTTGGCATACAGAAACTGCAGGTTGATTAGTACCATAGCAACCACACAATTAAAAATCCTTTAACTCCATATTGAAGACACAGAAAAGAAGTAACAATAGTTAAAGCATTTGAAATGTAAACTATTCAGACTTTTATTTTAACAGCATCTCTTCTTTCTTTTCCCATTAGCTGGCGAGAGTTTTTGAAAGAACCTCTCCCCCACTGCTCTTGGGTGACAGTTACTTAGATGGTGTCAAAGATGGTAATAACTGTTCTATTGGGGAAAAGAAAAGAAATTAGTCTAGATGGCCTGGAATTGTAGTTGTTGCTGTTAAAGTCTGATTCTGTTTCAATCCAGGTGTGTGTTGGTATTCTGTGGAGTCAGCAGAAGTGATAATGTTATCAGGGTCCCCTTTTCTGGCCAGTCTGATCAGGACATCTCTTATGATTAGGATGAAGAATTGGGCTCCCAGGAAGATCCAAAGTCTTTCTTCATGGATCCAAAAAGGGAATAATGGTCAGAGTAACCCATCCCCTCATTGTTTTGAGCATCCATTAGGATAATATCTAATACATCAATTATGATCAATTAATTTCTGGTTTCACATCCTCCTTTTTACCCTTTATGTTTAGAGTAATTTACTCTCTTTGGTGGGTTCTCATGCACCTGTTCAAAACATTCATACTAAAAGCAGTTTTCACAACAGAACTTACAATTACGGTAAATTTATGGGCCTAATTAAAACAAAGTACCGGGTCCTGCACTTCCCTGCTAACCAAGGAGGACATGTACCTCAAAGAGCTCTACTAGTGAAAATTCAAATAGTGATGATGATGATATAGTATTGTTGTCTCCAATATATTGTCCTGCTTCCACGGAAATGAAAAAGTTTGGTTCAAATCTTGGCAGTGTTTAGGGAATATTTTTCTACATAGTGTTCTCAGTAAGGCTAAGTCAATCAGGCTGAAGGTGTAAATCAAGACCAATAAATTAGTCTTTGCCCTTCACTTCATCAGAGACGCTTTAAACGTTACGAATAAAAATGAAACCTTTCATGCTGTATTTCTTTATAATGGTTGAGAGTTCTGTTTAGGATCCTTGTAGGTTTGGAGAGTGTGCAGTCAAGTTAAACATTATGACCGCTCTACCCAGTATGTTGCTGTGCGTGCTCTTGGGGTTGGTCAGTATTCTAATGGTGGCAATAAAGTTGTGAACAAACTGGAAGGAGTCCAGAGGAGAACAAAAATGATAAAAGCATGACCTGTGAGGAAATGTTGAAAGAATTGGGCATGTTTAGTCTAGAGGAGAGAAGGTTGGGGATGGGGAGGCACAATAGCCTTAAAATATGTAAAAGAGGAGGAGGATGATCATTCGTTCTCCAAATCCACAAAAGGTAGGGCAAGAATTAATCGGTTTAGTTTTCAGCAAGGAGGATTAGGTTGGATATTAGGAAAAATGTTCTAACCATAAGGATAGATAAACTCTGGAAAGGTTACCAAGGGAGATTGTGGATTCCCTGTCATTAGAGGTTTATAAGAACAGGTTGGACAAACACTTATTAGGGATTGTCTAGAGCTATGGCTACACTGTAGCCTTCTTCCGGAAAAGCATATGCAAATGAAGTGCAGCGTGGAATATTGCTGCACTTCATTTGCATAATTAATTAGCAGCCACTTTTGCGCAAGAGGCTTTTGCGCAAAAATGAGCTGTGTAGACAGCTCCTCTTCGCACAAAAATCCCTTGCGCAAGAGCTGTTCTTCCTCATTTTTTTCAGGAAGAACGGCTCTTGTGCAAAAGCCTCTTGCACAGAAGTGCTGCTAATTAATTATGCAAATGAAGCGCAGCGATATACCACACCGTGCTTCATTTGCATAAGCTTTTCCGGAAGAAGGCTACAGTGTAGCCATAGCCTAGATGTCCTTGGTATTGCCTGAGTGGAGGGGATGGACCAAATGAACTCTTGAGGTCCCTTCCAGCCTGACATTTCTACCATTCAGATAAAAACCCCACAACTTTATAATTTAAAAAAAAAACCAAATTACAACAGCTAGAAATTACCTTAAGGTTAATTTTAAACTTAATTTGCAAACTGTGCACTCTCTTTTCTAAGGATAACACCTAGTTACTAATCTCAAAAGTGTTTTGCTGTATTTAAGAACAGAACATTAGGGGACCTGTTGAAACAGTAATAAAGTTGTTGCAGACATGGCAGATGGAGGCAGAGATAACACTGCACCACAGACTATGTTCTGGAGAGCGTAGCATAATTTATCTTGCTTATTCTTATAAAGGGCAGTATTCCAACATTTATATCTGCTGTTTTGCTTGGAAGATCATTATTTCCTATTTATATCATAAATTTAAAACACATCCTATTTCTCCTATTTAAACTCTCTCACCAAAATACAACAGTGACTTCCCCTTCTGAAAAGGAAGGGCTGGCAGCTGCACCCTGAAGTCATCATTAATTGTTTATATAACCTTTAATCTGGAATTCATAATAGATTAAAGTATTTTTGCATTAGAGCAGAGAGTTTGTTGCATATTAATGTAACAGGTTTTGGTGAGATCTGGTAGCTGTGAAATGGAGCATCACCCCCTTTCATCTATTATATTGAAAATATAATTGAAAGACCGTACCTCTTCACTTTTCAGTAAGAACATAAAAATCCCTCTCCTGTCATCCATTTGCAGCCTCTGACAAACAGAAGCTAGGGACACCATTCCTACCCATCCTGGCTAATAGCCATCAATGGACCTAACCTTCATGATTTAATCGAATTCATTTTTTTAACCGTGTTCAAGTCCTGGTCTTCATAACATCCTCTGGCAAGGAGTTCCACTGGTTGATTGTGGGCTGCATGAAGAAATACTTCCTCTTGTTTGTTTTAAACCTGCTTCCTATTAATTTCATTTGGTGACCCCTAGTTCTTATGTTATGGGGACAAGTAAATAACTTTTCCTTATTTGCTTTTTCCACAACAGTCATGATTTTATAGATTTCTATCATATCCCCCCTTACTATCCTCTTTTCTAAGCTGAAAAGTCTGTCTTTTTCTCTCTTCATATGGGACCTGTTCCAAACCCTTAATCATTTTTATTGCCCTTTTCTGAACCTTTTCCAGTGCCGATATTTTATTTATTTATTTATTTATTTTTTTGAGATGAGGCAACCGCATCTGTACACAGTATTCAAAATGTGGCATACCATGGTTTTATATAGAGGCAATAAGATAGTCTCTGTCTTATTCTCTATGCCTTTTTAAATGATTCCTAACATTGTTTGCTTTTTTGACTGCCGCTGCACATTGAATGGATGTTTTCAGAGAAATAGCCACGATGACTCCAAGAGCTCTCTTGAGTAGTTATAGCTAAATTAGTCTCCATCATATTGTATGTATATTTCGGATTTTTTTTCCAATTTGCATCACTTTAACATGTATGAACATTAAATTTCATTTGCCGTTTGTTATCCAGTCACTTAGTTTTGTGAGATCTTTTTGAAGCTCTTCACAGTCTGCTTTGATCTTAACTATTTTGAGCAGCTTAGTATCATCTGCAAATTTTGCCACCTCACTGTTTACTCCCTTCTCTAGATTATTTATAAATAAATTGAATAGGATTGGTCCCAGCACAGACCCTTGGGGGACAACACTTGTTACCTCTCTCCATTCTGAAAACTGACCATTTATTCCTACCCTTTGTTTCCTGTCTTTTAATCAGTTATCAGTCCATGAGAGGACCTTCCCTCTTTTTCTGACTGCTTGCTTTACTGAAGAGCCTTTGGTGAGGGACCTTGTCAAAGGCTTTCTGGAATTCTAAGTACACTATATCCACTGGATCTCCCTTATCCACATGTTTGTTGACCCCCTCAAAGGACTCTAGTAGATTATTACAATATATTTCTCTCAGGAAAACATGAACATTTTTCCCAAGTATTTTTAAATGGAAATTTGGAGTAAGCAACTAGAAGAGGCCACAGGTCCATTTTCTTTTGTAGAGAAGCCCAATATATTAAATTGAAGTAGGACCTAGTAGACTGTGAGGTATAATTTGACATTTCCCTGTGTTTGTAAAAATGTGGACACACAAGATGAGTGTTGCAAAATTGCACATGGAATAATATCTTTTATCAATGTCAGTAATATTAAACAATCACAGGTTACTTTCCAAATGGCTGATATTTGTCAGGAAAACGTCTGTCTGAGTTTACTTGACCTTTCTTGTCTAAAAAGGTTTGATTATTTTAGATAGAATTTAAGTTGATATGGAAAATTACCTTTTTTCTTACAAACAATCTGTCTGGTACCCACTATATACATCTTCTGCAATCATCACAGTCCAGAGGTTACCCTGGGTTCTACAGACTACTTCCCTCCTGTGTCCACATGCATGCACAAATTTAGAAATATTCCTTTAAAATATAAGTTTAACTTTTCAGTGATCTTGATTAAATGTGTCATGTTCCACCTATTCTATTTTGACACTAATGCAATTATCTGTTTTTTCTCTTAATGTTTTTAAAAAAATCAGACCAGATTTATATGAACATTGTTAAATAGTTAAGCCACTTTTTTTCCCTCTCTCTCAAAATTATGGTTTGTATCTTTTTATCTGTTGCATCATCTTTGAGATAGTTTTGACAGTATTTTCCAGCCCTTTAACATATCAAGGAAAAGGTATGTATAGCTTAGTGAACCCAGAGTAA